CCTAGTCCGAACTACCTAGTTCGAGCCCCGTGTAGCCTCGCTGCATGGGGTTCGAACCAGCGGGGTTTTAAAAAAGGCGGCTCCCCGCTTATGCAAATGAAGCCCGGGAAATTCAAATCCCGGGCTTCATTTGCAAGTGTGGTATGCCTACATTACCCTCCTAGTTCGAACTAGGAGGGTAGTGTAGACATACCCTCAGTGAGTGAAGCTTTCAATCAGTTCGTGCTGAAAAGTCGCTTCTCCCTTCAAACAAGAAGTCTTGGAGGTTTGCTGGACCTCCACCAGCAGTCCAAAGGCCTATAGCCATGAGGAGCAGCATATGACTATTTCTTCGGACAGAGTTCTAGCTACTGTGTCGGCCGAATCTAATAAAGCCTACAGAAAGGTTCTGGCTCCAGTCCTGCTCTCTTCAGTGAGAGCCCAAAAATTCCTCCCTAGAATCTACAGGAAGGAGTTTTTTTAACTTGACCATAGTTTCCCATAAATTACATGAGTACCTGTTGAAAATAGACTATTGATTAGCTATCCTCAATTGAAGATCACCTGCCTCATATATCTTCCTCCCAAAGAGGTCTAATCTCTTGGCCTCTTTGGCTTTCAGTGCCAGCGCTTGCTGGCCCTGCCTCTCCTTCCCATTCACAACAGACACCACAAGTAAAGTAGGATGAGGATAGGTAAAAAGGAATTTGTATACCTCAGAGGGGACAAAATATCTCTTTTCCGCTCCTTTTACTGTAAAGGGAATTGAGGCTGTTTGCGACGGCATGCTGTTATTCATCTGGATGGTCTTTATTATAGGCAAGGCCATCCTCGAAGGACCCTCTGGTGCTAGAATGTCCACCAAAGAGGTCCAAGAATCTGAGAATCCTTCTATCTGCAAGTTCATATGGCGGGCCATTTGCCAGAGGAGTTTTTGGTAGGCCCTAGGGTCGATGAGTGAGGGTCCTACTGAGGAGGTACCTGCCACCACTTCACCTGGAGAGGAAGATAAGGACACCGATGGCAACAGAGGGTCAGATTGTACTTGACCTTGCTCCTGATCCTGCACCTAGCTTGTGACTGTAGCCTGGGAGGAGTCCTGGGCCTACATGGGAGCAGGTTCTGGAGGTGCTCCAGTGTCTTGCCTGTGCTCATCTGGCTTCAGCTCAAATATATAGATGACATCAACAATTCGGACCCTGATGGTGATGACCATAGTGGTGTTGATAAGCCAGGTGCCAGGGGTTTGGACCTGGATGTCAGCAATGCTGGTGAGTGGTACCAGGACGACCCTGATGACAACTGTAGCCAGACAGGAACCCCCCTTGTAACATCCATTTTTGCTTGCCTGGAGCACGCAGGGCACACAAAGCAGAAAGCCTTGGAGCAGGAGACTCAGGATATGGCAGGCTGCTGTGACTGTGAATGGCTGTAAACAGAGATACGCCAATTGCTGACCAAGAGGCTGCTGAGGAGTGCCCTTGACTTAATCCCATATTGATACGAACACACAGCCGCCTGCGGGGGGAGGAATCTCTCTCCCGGAAAAAAAATGTCTAGTACTCACAATTTAGTTATCTCTCTTGCAAGTGTAAATTAACTTGAAACTTGCTTGTAAGAACTGGCGCCACAAAACGGACCAGTACAATTCGGCATCTTAGATAAGAAAGAGGATACGGGTCCCCAGGGGTATAAAGATGGGTCCAGCAGCACATTTACTTTGAGTGTCAATCTACCATCTATCTGCTGGTCGGGTTAGGTGTTTGACCTCCCGAGGTTCCAAGGGGATGCCCACCTCGTATTTGTCTTTCCTAGGAATTGAGAGACCGGCCCTGGCTTGACCCGCTGCAGTCGAGAGGCACAGAAGGGGGTAAAAATTGTACCTGGATGTGGTCCTTTGTCTTAAGTGTACACATAGTCTTAGAGCTCTTTAAAAATTAAGCTGTCACTTGATACCATTATTTCTATTTTCTATCTTTATTTTCTTTGTAACTATTTTTAAGATTTATATTTGCTAGCAGTTAAGAAATAGAGCAATAGCCATTGTAACCATAAGATCTGTATTTGCTAGCAGTTATAGGAAGAAGCTTGGGCGTTTGGATTTGTGTCACTCCCAGGTGACAGATCCGTTAGGGCATCTCTCAGTCTTTCCTAGACTGCCCACTGCGAAGGGATCTTGTATTCTAGCAGCTAAAATCTGAGATGTAATAGGCTTTTCCTATAGGCCCAAGGCGTATGTCAGCCTGTTGGCTGCCTTCTGCGACGGGACCCCGGTCCTAGCAGTAAAGTCACGGACGTTAAATCTCTTCTCAGCACACACACACATACTGCCCTGACCATCGGCTGACAACAACTGGTGCCAACTACTGTGGAATCGAGACCAGTGATGAACATTTGGTGCCATACCCCTTCTGGTACCAAAGAGCTGTCCCTCTTCTCCAGGGCCGGGGAAGGACCTCAAGCCCTCGGTGCCAGGGAGGACAAGCACCTTGAGGATAAGACCAACCAACTCCAGCGATGGTCCATTGATGCAGGGCGCCTAAACATGGCAGGCTTGCCATTAGATTGAGGCACCCTAGCTAGTGCTAGTGGTTTCTCCTGCATTAGGTGAGCTCTGGATTTGGAGATTTCTATGAGGTCTCTCATGGCCTCATAGGTATCCATGGTAGATGGGGAGTTTATCATCTGCACTGGACTTTGGTTCTTTGGAGAAGCACTCTGTGTTTAACTCAACAGTGCCCGTATGGATACTGGAGTTGATGGCTTCTCTCGGTGAGCCTTGTGCGTCGATGTCATCTTGCACTGGCCTGGCTCTTGCTTACAAGGAGAGAACCCTCTACTTGTCTTATGGTGACTATGTGGCAGCACGGTGGTCACATGGTGCCTCATTGCCAACATCGGCAGTGCCTTCAGGCTACAGTGCTGAGAGTCTTTAGCAACCGTCTTTCTTCAATGCCATTTCATGCACAGATCCCAGTGCATTATGGATTTAAATTGCACCTAGACAGTCTGAATATGTCAGTCTAACAGCAGACTCCAGTAGGAACTGATGCAGGCAACACACACACTTCTAAGCTCGGTGCTCTTCCTGAAGGCATGTCAGACATGGGTTATGCATGTCACTGTTTGTTATAGATTTTTTGCACTTGTGCAGGATTTAAACACCAGGAATTTTGGAATGCACCCGGGAAGAGTGAAAGGTGTGGGCGAATCTGTCCACTACAAACTACTGATTTTACAACTGAAAGAATTCAAGACTTAAACATAAGGTAAAGAAGTACTGAATAACTAGGGACTAGAGACTTGATGACGCAAGACAGGGAGAAGTTCCAATGACATCACAGCCAAGAAGGAACTGAAGAGGGGTCAGATTGGTAATGGTATGCACGGGATGCTATGGCAAGCACCACTCCAGCTGAGAGCTGTTAGGGATAAAAGCTCCAGACACTCATGCATGTGATGCGTGCAAACCTAACTGGAACTGCATGAACAAGCATTCCAAGAAAAACTGTCTAATCTACCTCTGGCTATGATGCTATTTATAATGTGCTACCTTGAGCAGAGTTAGTGCTAAAGTGTCAACATAAGGTGAGAAGCAAACTCTCAGCCACAGAGTAAATGTGACCCTGCAGGCAAGCTATAAGAACTAACATTCATGAGGATCAAGACTTAGCCAGACATGCATTTTGATCTACCTAAGCCTACTCCATAGATTAAAACTGCCCCACACTATTATCTGCTGGAAGGTCATGCTGAAACCAGTAGAAGAGAAGTGAGAGGTGATCAAGGAGACACCTAGGGAAAAGGATAGAGTTCCTCTATCTTCTTAATTCAAGAAATATCACCCTTCAGATCGAGAAGTTCAGGGGATCTGCTAGAACACAATGAGTTCCTGTTCCAGGGCAACCTCCTCCCCTCCCCCCGCCCTCGCCCTTGTTCTGGGCAAGACTTCACGTACAAAGTTCACATCATTTTCCAAAGTCTGCAAACACTGTGTTTAATCCACGTCACAATTTGTCCCGCGCCCGTCTCTCCCGAGTGATTGGCCTTTCTCTCCGTTTAAGTCGCCAGATAGCACTACGAGGAGGGTAGGGGGACCTGGGCCCACCTTCACAACTGGGTCCCAACCCAGGGACCTAAGGGAGGGAAGCACTCCTGCTCACTCCCCTTATGGTCGGCAGGGCAGCCACCCATAACACGCTGACTCATGGGTGATCCGCCCACCCTGCCCTGGGTCACTTCCTCCCCGCTTTTAGTTCTCCTAGTATAAAGGTGAGGGAAAAGGGGGGCCTTCCCTGGTTCCCCTCAGTCGGCCTCCGCCCTCTGCTCTGGCTTGCCGCCCAGAGTTGCTGGTGCCCTCTCCCCTCTTCTCGGCTGCTGCCTCCACATGATGCGACCGGCCTGCCCGGCGTTGCAGCTCAGCCCCGCTCCTCGCGTTGCGCCCGCCTCAGCTGGCAGGTCGCACCACGTGATGTCAGGTCCCGGCGCCGACGCACATTCCACCGGGACAGCTCCAGCAGCAGCTGTGCTGCTAGCCTGCAGTCCGCCCTCACCCTCTCCTCCCTGCAAAGCAGGCAGGGCCATGGGAGTGTGGAGCCCTGGGGCTCCATCACACTTCCCAAGTATCTTAACAGACAATTAAAGCAGAAGTAGCTCATCTCTTTCATGATTCCAAAACGACACTGTCAAGAGGCTTCTTGGGGAATCCTTAGGATGTGTAGTAGCAATGGGCAACCACATGAGTGGCCCTCCTTCACCTCAGTGGGCTGCAGCAGCCTGCAGACCACTGGGGTTCTCAGCAGCACAGTGGCAGCAGTGGCAGTAGCAGGGGGATCCCCAGCAGTGGGGTTGGGAGCTGAGAGGACACTGGCTGCTGGCCCTGCCCCCAGGGGAGAACAATTAGTAACCATTAAGAATAGTTGCAGTTACAAGATTACTAAAATAAATTATTTCTAAGATACATAGTTGAGAATAATGATAAAAGCATATATGTTTATTTACCTGAGTGCTTTGATGTTCATCAGCAATACCTAAATGCATGCTTCTTGACTCAAATATCAGCTGTGAAGTGGAGAACTCAAGTGGTGGCTGCAGTGCTGTAGAAGAAATTAAAAAGTTTATAGAACATCTTGACAAATATTTCTAAAACTTCTTCCATTAAAGCTTTATTTCTACTTTACACATTCTTACAATCAAAAGAAGAATTCTGTGTTGCTCAAAAGCTTGTCTCTTTCACCAACAGAAGTTGGTCCAATAAAAGATCTCATCCACCTTGTCATACCCTGGGACCAACACAACTATAACAGCATTCTTAAACTGACAGATTCTCTCTTTCTTTTAAAATCTGCCCTCCCTTTCATTGTCTACAAATTGCAAGCACAGTAAATGTCTACTTGAGTATGACCCTCCATAAAGGGACACACATCTGTGTGACATTAATTTTGCACCCACCAAAATGTCAGTTGTCAAAAGGGAAGTCAAGCTTAGGTCAGGCTTAAAATCAGAATTACCATGATTTTCCTTTATAACTCTAATCTAAACAGGAGAGACTAATACTTTTTTTGTATTTCTGATTAACACAAAAGGGAGTCAGAGTAGATCCCACGTGAAGAAGGACAAGTACTCTAGAAATCCAATCAATTACTTAAAAAAAATTTAAAAGAGTTAACAAAGGTTTCTTTGAGCTAATCTATTTTCATTATCAATGAATATTAACCTTCTATAATGACGGAGAATTCAATAGTATTAGCTTCATTTTTCTAAATGGCTACTATAAGTTTGATACACCTATTGTTATCTCCCTATTTTTAATAGTTCTTAAAGTTAATTAAATTTGTGATACTTTATGTAGATTGTTATTCACCAAAGAATCCATATAAGTTTATCGCAAGAGATTTACTTTTCATTTAATACAGTAATTGCTCTTCTCCAGTACCACAGTAAAGAAAGCAAATGATGTATGATTTACAACAAAGCATTAACTGTATTCCATGGGTAGGAGAGCTGGATGCATGGGGAACAGTCCCTGAGAAGCTGTGAGCATGGGTGGCTCAGTGCACAAGGGCAGTCTCTAGCTCAAGGGCACACCCAACAAGCAGGGCTCCCCAGTTTTCCAGCAGGCTCCAGTGTCATGCTCTCTGGGCGCTCAACACAACCGCTGTGGAAGTGAAGTTGGCAATACATGGTGCCATGCCACCCTAAAATTGATTAATTTTAACTGTTAATGTTTTAGCTATTTATAGGTAAGGTACTACATTAATTTGAATTGTATTGCTGTTGTATAACCAATACTAAACATTATTTTTTTAGATTATGGGTAATACATATATTGTGTGAATGAGGCCAATATAACACAGAGAGCTGTACGTGTCCCAAAATGGTAAGTAGGTTGAGAACTAAAGGTCTGTAGGGTGGCTACTGTATAACATTGTGTGGCAATTGAAAAAGGCTCAGAAAAGGGAAGCAAAAATGATTAAGGGTATCGAACAGCTGTCACATTAAGAGAGATCAATAAAACTAGGACTTTTCAGCTTGGAAAAGAGAAGACTCAGGGAGGGGATATCATAGAGGTCTATAAAATCATGACTGGTGTGGAGAATGTAAATTAGAAAGAGTTATTTACTTCATCTCATACAGGCCCATACACAGGAGGGTGCAAAGAGTGCAAACGCACCCTTCCCATTATCCCGCAAATAAGCGTGCTCCGGCCAACCGGGGGAAGGCAGGAGGGGTGTGCTGCCTGAGCCCTCCCTCCCCCAAGCTCTGGCTGGCCAAGAGAAGGCTGGTACTTGATGACCCAGAATTTCTATAATTGTGATTTTTAATTTTTAGAAATTATAGTAATATAATTCCAGCATCAGAAATATATATTTTAAATGGAGTAAATAGATATAGATATATTTATTACATTTTCTAATTATCTGGTATTATAATAAATGCTAAATTAACCTACTGAGTTCTACTTTCAGTTATTTAGCTTCTAATTTTCCTTTGCTAAAACTAGAAATAAACCCCTGAAAAAGCTATGCAGAGCGTGCATGCGCACACACACACAGTTTAATGTTTCCAGTTTACGTACCCGTTGCTTGGACTGTACATAATGGGACAGTCACAGTCACAATTTGAGGACGAGGAACAATTATATGCTTTCCTGACCCACAAGGTGTCGTAGCTGTAGAGGTTTGCTGAGAAGATGGAACTTCACTGTTAATGTTTATTGGAAGACTGAAGTCATATGCTGCCACCTAATGGACAAGAAAATGGTTGTGGTCATTTTCTCGGCGAGGGAAACATGTTTATGCTGCACTGTAGCAGAATTACTACAACAATTTTTGAGAAAATTAACCTGAAGACCTGATCGTGTACCAATGACGTAATTGGAGCTTCATCTCTTGCCAAATGTGGCCAGCCATCTTAAGTACCCAAAGATCAACTTTCTCCTCGTCCCTCATGGAAAGTTATAATGGGACAAAAAATATCAAAATTATTTATACTGTGGCTCTAGATGAGACTTTTAATACATCATTGTTTAAGGATGCTTTGTTCCTTTTGATGTATTATTGCAGACAAAGATATCTGAGTTGGATTTCAGTCCATAATCAATAACAGCGAAGGAGATAGAGGGAACTGATCTGAAGAAAACCCTCCTCAACTGCTCAACAGAATGCCTCAACTTCAGTATGCCATTAACAACCTTAACAAAAAATGGGATAAGAAGAAATAAGTTTCAAAGTCAGGAACCCTTCACAAAGACACCATCATTTACACTGATGCAGTTCAAAGTGCAGTGCTTTCATTGATCCTAATTGTAGTACTATCACATGAAAGAAAGGCATTCACTCAGAATCTGTCCCAAAACATTTAGGATTTTATAGGTTAAAGCTAACATACTGAACTCACTTCAGAAAACTGCTAGCAGCTAATGCCTATAGAAAAGCACTGATATAAAATGATTCTTTCACAATGCGCTGGTTGATAAGCAAGTGGCCATGTTTCACATAGTCTTGTTTCCAAAAGGGTTCTCCAGAGGTGCCCCATACAGCACACACGATAGCAGTTTACTCTCAATGTAACAAAAGATATGAATAACCAAGAAAATCAGCATGGGAAAGACTCAAGGTTTATGCACTTCTTAGAGCCCTTTAATATATAAAACTCTGGTAAAGCTTTTAAGAAGCTGAAGATCTTACAGATTCTGAAGAAATAAGTACATTAAACTTGATTTTCATGTGCAATACAGTGAATGGTGAACATATTTAAAAATTTAAATGGGGAGAGAAAAAAAGAGTTGCCTCAATCCCACTGATTCTTCAAGTTTCTTAGCTCTATCAGCCAATCTGTGAACCGTTTAGACAACAAAAATAAAGCACATCTTATAAGTTCCAGTGTTCTTGCAGGATTAGTGTGCTCTATATTAATTCATGCAGGAACCACACTCCCTTGACTGAGTACAATAACGCAGATGTATGTAAGGCATCTGGGAGGATTGTGTGTGTTTGCTAAGGGGGAGAGAATGTGCATATTATGTGGATTTTCATTCAAATCATCAATGAACCATGCTGGTGTTTCAAATTGAGCAATGAGTAATGTCTAAAATATAGAACTCCGCTTTTTAAAACTGTAAACCAATTATCTTTAAAATACAGTGTAATTAAAAAGTTATATTAATTTTCTTAAACTTTATTTCATGCAATTCTTCTAATTATCTCAAAAGCCATCTACATGCTTTACTTCCAATTTCATGACACACTCACAAAAATTTTCCTAAAACTACATAATTGAAATCTGGAGTGAAATGGACTATTTCTTTAGCACATCAATGGTTTCCCTAACCCCTAAATATTCTGAAATTACATATGTCCATGCTACTATTATAATGGAAAGATTATAGCTGCAATCTTTGCTGTGGGAAAATTACTACTGATCAATAATCTCTCCATAAATCTGAAATTAATAATTATTTTATTTTTATCTTTAAAACTTCTGAAATATTTTCCAAAAAAGAAAAAGATCTTGGTTAGAATCATAGAATACTAGGACTGGATGGGACCTCGAGAGGAAAGAAGATATTGTTATTGACGCCCCTTATAGTTGCTATTGTACCCAAGAGAGAGTCATAAAACTTTCCAGTGACAATTTATTTAAAAGATGTCATTTTAACATTTCAGAACACAAAATTTTGTTCTATATTCTATATAGAATGATCTATATTTTCTATATATCTTATAAATATTTCTGAAAATTTGTTTGTTTGTCCCGAAAGATCTCCGAAATTGTAAGAGCTAGAAACACAAAATTTTGAACAGATACTACTGATTTCCTAACTTAAATAACTGGATTGGTTCTATCTCAAAATTGGTTCCCCTGGTTCCTCCCGAGTCCCAATTGGGACCACTGATAATTAGCTTTTAGTAGCGCCTGATCATAGGCATTTGCTGGACTCTTCAGTTAAGCATGTCACATAAACTGCAACTATGAGATCTTTTCCCTCTGGCTACAAACTAAGTAATTCATCTGTTGTCCACTGGGGAATGCACTTTGTAAGCACAACACTAGCTATGTTAATTTCTTAAAGTAATATATCAGAGAAAAGTATTTCCAATAAAATATGCTAGGTTAACGTAATTGACGTAGTTCATTCCTCACCCCCTTTACTATATTTTCCCCGGGCGACGACGGGTATTTCTGCTAGTATTATATAAATCATTAAGGTATTTGCTTTGCTGGCTAATGTCCCAGGAGATCTAACTTTAATAGAGGGAGTCTTCAGTAATAGAATAACTGCATAATTAAATAACAGTTCAATCTCATGAGCAGTGTAGAGTAGTGCAATGAATATGGACCAGAGACCAAGAATGCATGTAAATTAATTCCGGATCTGACATTCATTCTGTGGTTTTGTGCAGATCCTTATGTGTCTTCACTTCCCATCTGTAAAACTGGGATAACACTTCCCTGCATCACGGGACTTGTCTGATCCTGCACTGCACAGAGATATGGTGAACCAAAAGAGCCAAAAGGTTTTTCTCATCTCTAGTTTCTATGATTGTTTGTGAAGAAGTTTGAAGATTTAACTTCCTATATAAGTTACAAATGTGCTATGAACTAGAATGGTAACTACTTTTGGGCCCTCATAGGACAGATTACCAATGTCTTTTAGACATACTGAATAAAGGAATCAAGAACTTTTTTAAATTTTGCAGTCTTCACGTTGAAAATATGCTTTTAATTTTTGCGTGCAAGAGAGACACCATCTATACAGACACAAGGCAAAACATTTGCAGATTAGAAACCTAGCACCTTGTCTCTGCCTCCTTCTGGTTATGCATTTCAATACAGTCTGTAACTCCATCATAAATGGCGTTAATGCTTCTATATTTGCTACTTGTTAGACAATGTGCAGTGAAAAAAAAGTAGATTTACAAAAGGCATTTTTATCCTCACTGTTCAGTCAATATTTCATGCACTACCCATCATCTAACTTTTGTAAAACTAAAGAAACAGAGCTGTCCAAGGTCTTCGCTCAGTTTCTGCACACTGAGGCCTTCTCTTTACTCCATGGAAGATCGATGCTGCAGTGATCAACCTTCCAGAGTTTGATTCAGTGATTATAGTTAAGACTTGCTAAATCGAACTCAGAGGATGCCCCCAACCGTGTCCAGTACTCCTAATCTTGTGAGGAGTAAGGGAAGCTGAGAGGAGCATTTGCTCCCATTGGCCTCCTACTGTAGAGATGCTGTTAAACTCAGTTTAAAGTAAGTCAACTCCAGCTACATATTCTAGGTAGCTAGAGTTGTGTACCTTGAGCCAGGCTTCCAGGTCTAGTATAGGCCTGGCCTGCGTGAACATCTTGTCCACTGAGAACCCAATTTTGCTCTCAGTAATAGAGGTGTAAACTAAGAGTAAATCTTATATGGATTTATTATAAAAATAATTATGCATTTCTGGAAAAAAAAAAGCTCAGATTTTCTTCTTGTTTACTATCTACCTCTGTGTAATTAACAGTGCAATACCTAACTGACACAATCAATGAAGTAGGGGTCTTGTACAAAAATCAACAGTCATGTCCATTACACATATACTATAACATTTATGGACAAGGGAGTATAATTAAGTTTGTATTTCTTTTTAGTGTACCACTTTGCAAGCTCAATCATCTTTTAACATCTTTTATTTCCCTAATGGAATTTTCTAGGCTTTGGTTTTTATTTCTAAAGAAATTCCATAATGAGGAATTCCTTGCTACCACACAGCAAATTATCTTGCATATTTTGTACAGAAGAGTGATTAGAAAGATACATTTTAAAAAAGTAAGTTATTACTATGATGGATTTCAAGCTGTTCTGTAATAATTTTGGAATACTGTACATTGATCTGATTGATTTTTGTGTAACTATATTGCTTTATCACTGCAGAAGATTTTCTTAAAAAATACACAGGAAAGGGGACAAATGGCTCAAGTGACATCTTTGCAAACACCGGAAGGCTGTTAAGAGATTTTGCTTTCTCGGTAAGACTGCAAACCTTATTAGAATTAGGACACAATGAGGTATCCAAATATAGATCAAAATACTTGACACACTTAGGCTACGTCTAGACAGTGGGGCTATTTTGGGATACTAGAAGTATCCCAAAATAGTAATTCTGCATCTTTAAATGCCCCCGTTATTTCAAAATATATTTCAAAATAATGGGTGTGCTATTCCAGCATCCCTGTAATCCTCATTCCACAAGGGTTAAAGGACATGTCAGAATAGTGCTTTATTTTGAAATCTGGTGTTGTGTCAACAGTGCCAAATTTCAAAATAAGCCATTTCAAAATTACCTCGAAATAAGCTACGCAATTTGCACTATGCAAATTGCATAGCTTATTTCAAGGTAAGGATGCTGTGTAGATGCACCCTTACAAAGGAATACACTCTAAGGGAGGAGTAGCACTTGTTTTGGGGATCCAGCCTGAGACAGCAACTTTCTGGGGGTATGTCTACACTACCACCCTAGTTCGAACTAGGGTGGTAATGTAGGCATACCGCACTTGCAAATGAAGCCCGGGATTTGAATTTCCCGGGCTTCATTTGCATAAGCCGGCCGGCGCCATTTTTAAATGCCGGCTTGTTCGATCCCCGTGCCGCGCGGCTACACGCGGCACGGGCTAGATAGTTCGGATTAGGCTTCGGATTAGGCTTCAGATCCGGGGCTTCATTAGCAAGTGCGGTATGCATACATTACCCCCCTAGTTCGAACT